ATGTGAATGCACGAGATTGTCCGATGCTAACCGATTGCTCAAAAACTGAAATGACAATATTGACTTCAAATAAGGGATTCCAGTACATAGATTGCCGAAATTCATCGATTGTTGATGAGGACTCTGCAATTGATGCTGCGCTTCCAATGCCCACTGAACATGTTGATTTACTCCTTCCTAAATACATCAGGGTTTGTTCTCTCTCTCTCTCTCTCTCTCTCTCTCTCTCTCTCTCTCAGTACACACACACACACACACATTTTATTCCTTGTACACACATCAAATACTTTCCTAATTTTGTTCAGTTTATTGTTTTCGTTTACAGGGACTAATTAATGATGGGCAAAAATTTGAAATCCGTTTTCCTTGTACCACTATTCCTCTTTGGTGGACGAACTGGAATACAAAGTCTCCCATAAAAATTGAACTGTCTTCAGAAGATCGTGAGGATACAGGCCGTATAACGAAGGGTTTTGCCCTTTTTGTTGTTTTTGTTATAAAGGAACTTGAGCATGGTAACTTTGATGAAGAGTTGGAATTAAAAAAAATCTTCTGTCACTTTTACATCAATAAGCGTCCACTTAAGAAGACCCTAGACTTTGAAAACTTTAAACACTTCAGACTTGGTTCGTTTGGGGTCTGTAGCTATGTGCCAGTAGAATGGTTTGGAGAGCAGTTAAGCACATCGAGTAGAGTTATTGAAGCTTCATTTTCAAGGGATAGATTGGATGTGGAGTTACGAATGTTTGGAATACATCAAGTATTTAATCATGAAGTGGAAGACTTCAGTAACAAACTAGCTCAAAGTTCTAATGACCACTTGTATCTTGAAATGAATTTTAATCGACATTGCCAGAAATTATTAGAGGGTGCAAATGAATTGGTGGACTCTGACAAGATCACAGTCATCAAGAATGGAGAAGGTAGTTCGGGAGTGCCTCAAAATGAAGCAGAACACGATGACACTGCCTGGGATGATATAGATTCAATTGAATATAAAAATTTCATAAATGAAACATACTCATTGCTTTCAGCAGTCTTTCAGGTCAGTCGTCTTGATCCCTATCCATCTCTCTCTCTCTCTCTCTCTCTTTGAGATATCCTTCCAATACTAACTCAATGCTTTTTGCAATATCGATAGGGAAGCTTTGCACGTCACAACTGTTTCTATTTGTTATTGCCTTTCCCAATACTTTCACCATGGTTCTTCCACCACAGCGTGGGGAACGTAGCAGTGTGCTACCTTCCTCCTAATATATACGAAGATGAGAGATGGTTGGGTCTGGAATTATATGTCAAATGTGAATTACGTCGATCTCGCACAGTTGGTGATTCGACTTCAGAAATAGTTGATCTTAACATTGATCTGTACGCCCATGGGAAAAGTATGTCACCTATATTGTGTCATAAGATCAAAATACCTGTACATAGTCGCTTTGTTACAATTCATGTCCCCCGCAAGTATTTCTCAGAAGAGTTGAATAACTATGAAGGTCTAAGCGTCATCTTTATGCCCACTACCCCAGATGTGGAAGTCAAAATGTGTGGAACCAGGTTGTTGTACGAGCAAGAGTCGAAGATGATAAGCAAAGGAATAATACAGTGCATATTTCAAATCCCAAGTTTGCTTCAAGTTGTTCATGAAGCAGCAATAGGGCTTCTTCAGAGTGATCAAAGTGATAACGATGAGAGTAATATTGCACTGCAACGAGAAATGCCCCAATCTAGTCGCATGCCTACTTATGAACCAAGGTATTAATTTCTGAAATTTCACCTCTGTTTTTTTTTTTCATTTTTTTTTTTGGCGCGTATGTGTTTGTATAATTTGTTTTATATATGATAAATGTCAATGAATTCTCACGTCCTAATGCAAGATCTTAGGGAAAGGAATATAATAAAGTCATTACAAAAGTTTCTGACAAGTACTGAACAACTCGCAAAGGAAGTTTCAACTTCCATAGGTAAGCACGGAAGGGAATATGCTGAGAAGCGAGTTTTTGTTAATGCTGACTCGGTCTTACTCCACTCCAAACAGTCATTTTTGAAGAATTGGGAAAACAAGCAAGAAGATACTCCGTGCGAATTGTCTGGTACTTTCAACCATTTGCATATAATTGCAGAGAGTATACTCTCCGTAAGCGATTCACAAAACCAGATCGAAACTCTTAAAGTTCTGCTTAGAGAATTCTTCAAGCATCGCGTCCTAGTCACACTCAGCCTAAAAGGGCATATAGTCTTTGCTTTAAAGAATTTTGTTCCCGGCTCACCATACAATTTATGTTTCCCTCAGAAGGGGATTCCAAAATGGTTTGATGATCATCAACTTAATAACTCTATGGTGGCAATTGCACTCCCTCCAAATCTAAGCCATGACGAGAGCTGGAAGGGGCTTGTCATATGTGCATCCTTTTCAGTGAATGAGAATCCAGATGCTTTTTCGAAAGGATCGTTCAGGCTTCTCTGTCACTTAGCAAGCGAAGGAATTTGCATGAATCCTGTCGCGTTATGTTCTGTCACCAAAGATAAAATCAAGTGGTTGTACGTGCGCGGGTTCATTTGGTTGGCCTACATTCCTAATGTGATGCTTGCTGATGAGCTGAATGGAAAGCATATAGTAGAGGCCAAGATTTACAGTTATTGCCCCGGCTTAATTGTGGACAAGTGTGGCATCCGCTTATTGTATGAGAATGATGTGGAAGAACTTAAGCAAACAATAATCCAGTGTTGCACTTCATTCGTCAAAGATTGGGATATCATGGATAAACTCGTAGCAAATGAAGATGATGAAGCTTCATTTTCAACGGATAGATTGGATGCAGAGTCACGAATGTTTGGAATGCATCAAGTATTTAATCATGAAGTAAAAGACTTCAGTGACAAACTATCTCAAAATGCTAACGACCACTTGGATCTAGAAATGAATTTTGATCGACATTGCCAGAAATTATTAGAGGTTGCAGCCTCTGGCAACATCACAGCAGTCAAGCTTGAAGGAGGAAGTAGTTCGGGAGTGACTCAAAATGAAGCTGAACAAGATCACACTGTCTGGGATGCTATACCTTCAACTGAGTATAAAAATTTCATAAATGAAACATACTCATTGCTTTCAGTAGTCTTTCAGGTCAGTCATCTTAATCCCTATCCTTCTCTCTCTCTCTCTCTCTGGTATCCTTCTAACACTAACTCGCTGATTGTTTGCAATATTGATAGGGAAGATTTGCACGTCACAACTGTTTCCATCTTGTATTCCCTTTTGCAGCACTTTTACCGTTGTTCTTCCACCATAGCGTGGGGAATGTAACAGTGTGCTACCTTCCTTCTAATATATACAAAGATGAGAGATGGCTAGGGCTTGAATTATACGCCGAATGTGAACCCCGTCGATCTGACTCAGTTGGTGATTTGGCTTCTTCAAAAGGAGTTGATCTTGAGATTGATCTATACGCCCATGGGAAAAGTATGTTACCTATATTCACTCACCGTATCAACATACCTATTAGCGGTTTTGTTGCAATTCATGTTCCGCGCAAGTATTTTCCGGAAGACTTGAATAACTTTAAAGGTATAAGTGCCATCTTTAAGCCCTCTACCCCAGATGTTGTAGTCAAAATGTGTGGAACCAGGTTGTTGTACGAGCATGAGTCGAAGTTGATAAGCAGACGAATAATGGAGTCCATATTTCAAATGCCAATGGTTCTTCGTTTTGTGCATGGAGTAGTAAATGGGCTCCTTCAGAATTATCAAAGTGATGATGATGAGAGTGATATTGCATTCAAACGAGAAATGCCTCAAACTAGGACCACTTATGAACCAAGGTTTAATTTCTACAACTTCTTTTTTTGTGTACGTTTGTGCATATTTTTCTTTATATGTGTCAAATATCAATTAATACTCCCAGCCTAATGCAAGATCTTTCTCATGTGAACTACTGTAGGGAATGGAATTTTATGAAGTCATTGCAAAAGCTTCTGACAAGTGCTGAACAATTCGCAAGGGAAGTTTCAACTTCAATAGATGAGTACAGAAGGGAATATGTAGAGAGGCGAGCTTTTAATGATACTGACCCAGTTTTAGTCCACTCCAAACACTCATTTTTTAAGAACAGGGAGAACATCCAAGAAGATACTTTGGGCGAGTCGTTTGGTACTTTCAACCAAGCAAACACTGTGAGCCAATTGGCTGGTATTTTTAACCATTTGGCGGAGGCTACTTTCAACCAAAAAGACACTCTGAGCGGATTGCCTAGTACTTTCAACTGTTTGCATATAATGGCAGAGATTACTTGCAACCATTTGCATATAATGGCAGAGAGTATACTCCACGTAAGCGATTCGCAAAACCTGATCGAAACTCTTAAAATTCTGCTTAGAGAATTCTTCAAGCATCGCGTCCTAGTCACACTCAGCCTAAAAGGACATATAGTCTTTGCTTTAAAGCATTTTGTTCCGAGCTCACCATACAACTTATGTTTCCCTCAGAAGGGGATTCCAAAATGGTTTGATGATCACCAACTTAATAACTCTATGGTGGCAATTGCACTTCCTCCAAATCTAAGCCATGACAAGAGCTGGAAGGGGCTTGTCATATGTGCATCCTTTTCAGTGAATGAGAATCCAGACGCTTTTTCGAAAGGATCGTTCCGGGTTCTCTGTCACTTAGCAAGCGAAGGAATTTGCTTGAATCCTGTCGCGTTATGTTCTGTCACCAAAGATAAAATCAAGTGGTTGTACGTGCGCGGGTTCATTTGGTTGGCCTACATTCCTAATGTGATGCTCGCAGAGCTGAATGGAAAGAACAGTGTGGAGGCTAGGATTTACAGTCAGTACCCCGGCTTGATTGTCGACAAGTGTGGCATCCGCTTACTGTACGAGAAAGATGTGGAACAACTTAAGCAAACAATAATCCAGTGTTGCACTTCATTCGTCGAAGATTGGGATCTCATGGATAAATTCGTAGCAAATGAAGATTATGAATAATGATCACGTACCTTAGCCCATCCAGGGTCCACCAGAGTTAGACAAGGTTTGTCTTTACCTCCCTCCGGTCATTAGTCTCGATATTTTGAGCAATATGATCTATTTATATACGTATACATTAGTTAGTAACTTATAGATAGTCTCAAAATTTCAGCCGTTTCCAAATTTATTCTGTCAAATTTTTACATCTAGTTAATGAAATGACCGAAACTGAAATAAAATAATTTTTTAGGGACTATTTATGGACCGTTTGAAAAATCAAGAATCAAAGTGGGTTGTGTTTAAACCTCAGAGATTATTTGTGTAATTAACTCTTATTTAAGGTATCTTAGAGTTATACGTGCATGCAGTTGTCCTAATCATCTTATACAATGAGTGAGGCCTGCAGAGAACTTGCTCCTTAATTTTTCTCCTTCTAGAAAGCCATATTTTTCTTCTTAAATAATTAAAAGGATGTTATTGATGATGTTTGTTGAAACTGCATATTAACCTCGTGCTCTTTGCTCCTTTACATCTCAGACTCGGAGGATCGCGCTTACCAGGAAAAATGCAGATTTGAATTTGAGATATTGACTGATGCATGGAAGATCGAAACAGAACTGTTTTTTTTTTTTTTTTTTTAATGTGATTTTCTTTATGAAAAATTTCAGAATTGTTTTGTTTTACTGTGATTTCCTTTATGAAAACATGTGTGAAAGACTTCGATTGTTTGGAACCAAAACAAAAAAAAAAGATTTCTACTATTTGATGGACTTTAATATCGTACGGTTTGGATTTCTAATTAGTAATTTATTTTTACCCTTCTTAATGGAATATTATTGCTCGGATCTTATATTGTATAAGTTTGACCAACGGTTATGCATTGCTTGTTAATGGAATACTATTGAGGATTTCTTTTTTTTTTGTTTGTTTGAAGTTACCTATTTAGATGGTTTCATGTCCAACAAGAAATTTTATTTGACCTTGAGTATTCTAAAGAGGGACGAGATAGACGTGAACAACGGTAAAGTTGTTCAGCCGTTTTGAACCCAAAATAGTTGCTAAACAGGTTTGCTATGTTTATTTAGGCCTATTTTGAACATCGGACTTGGCTGTTTGAACCCAAAATGGGTATAAAAAAAAGTGCTTTTAGGAACCTACGGCAAAAAAAAAAAAAAAGACACATATTGACATTTCTTATGTCATTTTGCAGCCAAATGAAGATTAAAAAATGGGAGTGGGGAACAAGTCAATCTCATGCTTACTTGCTCTTTTTTATCCTGGAATGGGAGTGAGATTGGTGGACCCACTCAAATTTGGGATCGAGGAATGAGATTGGCACTCCCATGCCCCTCTTTGGGATTGAGACTCTTATTCCTAATATTAATATTAATTTACTATTATACCCTTATTTTACTTATAAATACACAATTCAAAATAAAATTCAAAAAATAATAAATGCAACATATATTTAATATTTTATTTGCCTAATATTATAATATTAGCATAATTATTGTTAACTTTAATATAATAAATATGTACTTTATTTTTAATAAATTAATAATATATTTTATTTTTAACACTATTTTTTATTTTTATTTATTTTATTTAAAATTTATTTTTATATTTTACATAGTTGTACAATTTATATTTATTATTTTAGTACCCAATTATTACACAAAATATTTTAATTAGTACACTATTTTTTAAATTGAAAATATCAAATTGATTTAAAGGGTATATTAGTACTTTTACACTTTTTCATTTCGATTATGGGTATAAGTAAACGTATGAATGAGATTTGGAATGACTCTGATTCTGAATCCTATCACTAAGTAAATAGTTTATTCTGACTCTGATTCCTCACTCCGAATCCTACCCACTCTGAATCCTACCAACTCTGATTCATGCTCATTCCAATTACGTGTAGGTAAACATACCATAAAAGTTTGAGACATGATTGTCTAAATTTTTAAAATGAGAATTAACATTATTGCCAAATTAAGAGTTTGAGGACTTGAATGTTTAAATTTTTAAAATAGGAATCTGACGGGTCTTTTTGTCTTTGTAGTGCAATTCTAGGTCACATGACAAATCACATGCCTTTATCTATTTAAAACGTGATAGAACATAACGGAAAAGCCTTAATTTAGTTTGAGGAGTGTTTTGCTAAAATTAAAAAAATAAGGACTAAACTGTCACATACTAAAAAGGTTCGGGACCATCTATATATGCTAATTACCCAATAATGTTATACATATTAAGAGTGGAGAAATAATAATCATAATAATCATAATAATCATAATAATCATAATAATCATAATAATAATAATCATAATAATCATAATAATAATAATCATAATAATCATAATAATAATCATAATAATCATAATAATAATCATAATAATAATCATAATAATAATAATAATAATAATAATAATAATAATAATAATAATAATAATCATCATCATCATCATCGTCATCATCATCATCATCATAATAATAATAATAATAATAATAATAATAATAATAATCAATTTTTTATTCAGCCAATTAGAATTTAAAAAAAAAAGAACTTCTCTCTCTCTATGTTCGACCACCATCACCACTGATCTGTTTGCGGCGTCGTTTTCGACACCTCACTCACCATCGTGAAGCTCTCGACGAGTCTAGCACAATGACATATAACACGACCTCTAATTCAGTCAAAAACTATTGCCTGAAAAAGTCCAAAATACTCATTTCTTCTCGACGTGATATCTTCATCGTCTGACCTCCGATCGAGGTGATTTCAATTGATCAGAGTGAAGAGACGAAGAAACCCACCATTTAGCTCAAAAAGGTCGCCGGAGTACCACCATCCATGGTAGCCAGAATTCCCGCCACCGCCGCAGTCGTTTCTCTCCTTTATGGCCGCCGTGGGGGTCACCACCCCCACCATTAAACTCAAACTTTATAGATGAGTCGATCTCGACTAGTAGCCACCTCCATCGTCGCTGTTTGGCCGGAAAATGAGCCCGCCACCGTTATGAAGGGTGATTCTGATGATCTAACCATTGTATCGTTGTGATTTTGGTGTCAAAATTCTCAAAAGATCATGGGTAATGAAAGCCCTCAATCAATTTCATCGATTGATGGCCGGAGGATCAAGATCCAAGTCGCCAAATTTCGCCAAGGTTGATGTTTTTGATCCGAGCAGATGGAGGCCTAACTTTTGTAAAATTGACTTCTTGATTGAACTCAGAAGGTTGAAGATAGGTAGGAGCGGAAGTTTCATTGCCACCCTATTGGTTACCGAATCGAATTCGGATGCGGAAGCGTGGGGTTTGCGTATCGTGTATAACAAAAATTTTCATAAAACTTTTGTGATACTCTATAGATTATATTAATTTATGCACAAATGAATTAATCACAATAATTTATTTAATAAGAACTCAATTAGGAATTATACCCGGCGGCCGATTAGGATGATAACTTGAGTTTTTTGACCTCGAACAATCCTTGCTCCAAAGCTTTGTGTTTAGAAAACTAATGTCTTCCACGTCAATTCCTAGAATCCACGAAGATGTGTGTGTGGGCACACCTGAGACAAAACGGGTTAGAATAAACACTTAAATTTTCACAAACACCAACACATGCACGATGTGAAATTTTTCCTTCCCTCTATACTAGAGAATTTCGGCCACCATCCAAATAATAGGGCAAAAAATTGTGTTAAAAATTGTGTCCACAATTTTCTATCATTCTCTTTTTTATAGAGTAGAAGTCAAACTTCTAGAAGGAATCCGATCTCTATCTCCAAGATAAAGCTTGTTAATTATCTCCTATTTGAATTTGGAACAAAATCTCCTCTTATCCTTTATCCATTATGGCTGGCCATTCATTGGAGATTTTATCCTTGTGTAGGCCCCAATATCAGATAGGGAAGGAAGAGAAAATCATCCTTTTTTCTGCACTCCAATTTTGACTCAAATTCAAATTCCAATTTAAGTCAAACTTAAATTAATTTGAATTCTAAATTGAACAACTTATCAAATAAGTTTAAATGGATAAAACTAGATGTGTTCAAATTAAAATTTAAATAATCACATTATTTAAATAATAATTAATTATCAATTAATTATTTTTGAGTGTTTAATTTTAGAATTCCGTAATTCTAAAATTCTCATTTTGCCAT